GTTTAAATTTGCGAGGGCGGGGGCGGGGAACGTAAAACCCGCCCCCGCCCCGCCCCGTTGCCATGCCTATTTCTGAGAAATGGGATCGACCCGATGCTTCCAAGATCAACTATCCTCATTATTAAAATAATTTTAGCTAGCAAAACTCACATATCATAAGTGCATATTAATCCTTAATTGTTAGTTTTAGAACACTATTAAACGATGTTTATTAAAAAAGATACAATTATGTGTGCTTTTATTACTCTCAAAAACTTGCCAGCAATAAATGATTGCTGAAGTGCTTCTGAACAATTTAATGGTTCGGTATGATTGTTGAACTAGAATTGCGTGATTCAATACCTATCTCATAGTTAGATTCTTGATCCTACTTGATTTCAAGTTAATCATTCCCTAAAATATCTTAGATTGTATTTGCACCTCTATGAAAAGTCGAATCAGGGTGCTCTGCAGTCAGGGAGTTTCCACTTATTGCTGAATTGTTGAATTCAATATGGTTCGGTATGACAATCAGAATTATTGAATTAAAATCGGACAGCTCATGTGTTATCTCTGACAAATCTAAATTAAAATTATGTATCTAAGAAGCGATGGTGTGGATGTGGGAATGCAGAAAATCCATTTTCAAAAACATTTATTTGGACCTTAATAGATTATTTCAACCAAATAGTAAAGCCATTTATTTTTTGTACGCATAGTAAAGTTAATTATTGTTTTCCATTTTGACAGTTTCGTTGCAACAAATCATCCAGAAGATGGGAAATATTTTCTAAGATCCCTCGGAAAGGTAGTGTTTTGTACTCTGACTAGTTATATCATAGTTTTCCAATACTGGTGTTGGCTAAAAGAAAATTCATCCTCTTAAGCATGTTATGGTCTTTTCACAGTGCCGAAAACACTTGCATAATAGAAGGGATAGCTTCTACCAAATTACTCGGTGTAATGTAGACATGTTTAATTTTCATGTCTACATTACTACTATTAGTCTGATGCCTTACATTGTTCATATGATTTTCTGTAGTACATAATGTTTTGATAATTATATTTCACAATGTGCTACCTGATCATGACGTTGGAAATGATATCATTTTTTTTTTTTTGGCTCTACTGCTAGGAGCAACATGAACTTGCTGAAAGAGTGATGGTAACACGGCTTCACCTTTATGGCAAATGGATCAAGGTAATTGAACTCAAAATTCGTTTGATCTCTAAGGCACTCAAAACTATAACTATTCTTCACCTTTTATTGGCATGCAGAAATGTAATCACGCAGAGATATATCAAGAAATATCTGATGAAAACTTGGAGTTGATGAGGGAACGGCTCATGGAAACTGTAATATGGCCTTCAGATGACACCAACACAGAAAAAATTGGCTGATAAGTTAGGACCCTTCATACCATCTTTTCCCTTCAAGCTTTTAATCTTAGTCTAGCTATAATTTTGGTTTCTCTCTAAATTCCTTATGTGTCCTTTTCTCTTAATAGGATTGCTAGTAATACGTTCTATAAATTGTGTATCTCTATACCTTTCCAAATACGATCCATTATTTAGATAGTTTGAAATGAAGGATTTGCAAGAAGGATAAAAAATTTGGCATTTGTTTGAGAGTATAACTAATCGCTAGAATCTATTAGCCATGTTAGCTTCCGAAGTCATGAAAAATTGAAGAAATTAAAAGCTTTTTTATTCATACGGTTACTCAATACCAATTGTGTATTTACTCATCTCACTATGTATGATTCAACCTCAAACAGAATTATTATTTTCACGTACTGCATATTTGTTAAGCTGCACTTCTACTTTGTTCTGTTTTGAGTGTTTGTTGAATGCTGGTTGGTGTTGCGTTTGGTTTAGCTGATACAATTTATTTATTCATTGATAAAGATAGATAAATCATTATAGATAAGGATAACTATCCAAGGTCTAATTTTAGTTTATTTTTCATGTATTGCGCATTTCTTTATAAATCATTTTAAAAATAATTTTAAAATAATTATTATAAAAATTAACAAACCTTTCATTCATAACGAAGGTCTAATTTTAGTTTATTTTTCATGTACTGTACATTTCTTTATAAATCATTTTTAAAATAATTTTAAAATAATTATTATAAAAATTAACAAACTTTTCATTCATAACAATTTATTATTAAATGATAATTAAAAAATAATTAAATTATTAATACATTCTTATCAGTTTTTTTGGGGGAAATGAAGGGTGGTCCACTAGTTTACACGTTAATGAAAAAGAAAATGTTTTCATGAACATACATTGTGCATTCGTTCAACAAACAATGACTCAAACATACGCTAAATTGAGCTTAATCTTCATTTACAAAAACTAACCATAACCATTTTGGTTAAAAAAATAAAAAGTAAAAAGAAATCAATTATTCTCAAGTGGTTAATCTATATACTACCTATCACTTTCATAAGATTTAATTAACTAACTCACAAGAATTAAAAGAAATAGTTTGCTTAAAAAAAAGTAATTTAATTAATAATACTAAACTTATTTTAAATTTATATTTTAACTTTTAAAATTACTTTTATTATTTTTTTATATAAAGATAAGAAAAGATTACAGGTCGCAATGAGAATTGATCTTAAGTTCTCTCCACTTAACTACTAGACTAATTCTAATGATAAATTACTCTTATTCAGAAACATATTTTTTATTTTTTTTAATATTTTTATTAGCTCAAATTCTTTAAACTTTTCTCATTAGTAAGATATTATTTAATTTAACTTTATTAACTAACAAAGTAAAGTTCACATGATACTTTTTGTATGTAACGACAAAACTAGACTTTTTAATCAACTCTAAAAGAAAGTTTATTAGATTAAAATTTGAAAACTTTATTTACCTCGAAAAAGTCTCGTGAATTTTTAAAAAAATTGTATGGATATAATAATTTTAAAAAATAATAAAAGACTTTTATATTCAGTATTTTTTAATTTGGATTTTAATGAATTTACATTACAAAAATTTATTAAAAAATTATGAAATTTCACCAAACAAAATATTTTTGATAAAATACAATTAAGGAAAAAGATAACATAAATAATAAGTTTTGAAAAAATAAAAGGAAAATTGATAATAATAAAAATTAATCTTTTTATGAATAATTGATTTCAATTTTAAATTCTCGTAAATAATATTTATCTATATATAATCCTCTATACATTCACATCTTCTCATTCTTAATTATGGGTTTGAACAATAAGTTCAAAAATATGATATTCATTGATTAGTAATATTGAAGATAAAAAATTGTTTACCAATTCTTTTGGAAATTCATCAAAACATCTCTTAAGATAGTGTTACACATGTTAACAGAAATTCAACTCGTATCTCAAATAAAACTAGATGTGTCTTAAAAATTGTAAATCATACTTTAAGAATATAAAATATTTCTCAATTACAATCCATAAAGATGTATTATGATCATTGAACAATTCATTTTCATGTTGAAAATCAATACCATGGTTAGTAAATTCTTATGAAAAAGTATGAAATTATTGGTAATGATATTACCACAACAAATATATAATTAATTAATCATTTCCAAGTTGTCATTCTTTCACTTTCATAATCACGCATTTTTTTTAAGACAAAATTTCATTCAACAAGTAAAGATTCTTTTAATCACAAGGAGTAATCAAAAGAGCTTACAATATTTTCCATATAGGTTAGAGCACTTACAACACAAACTAAAACATAATAAGTAATACAAAAAAAGAACATCACCCTAAACTTTACAAATAGACGAGTCATTAGATATTAAAATCTTCTTATCCTTACTAAACTTTCAATACAATAATCTAGTTACGTAATCAACTCAGAAAAAGAAAGCTGAATTTTTACAAAGACCTTGAACCCATAATCAAGATTTTTACAAGGCATCTTGCCACACTATTAATATTCTATCTTTTATCTCTTATGAAAGTACATTACAAATACAAAGTTTATAAATAACAAAAAAAATCTTAGTTTAGAAAAAACTTTAAATTTAAAATGCTTGAAATCTTAATTACTTTGATTGCATAATTTAATTCAAATTTCTTAATTTAGACAGCAATTTAATTTTCATTGTATGCAAAAATTATATTTTTAATGTTTAAATTTTAAATTTAGCAAACATTCAAAATTTCAAAAGCAAACATTAGTTAAATTTTAAATTTTAAATATTTAATATGCGAAAACTGTTTTATAATATATTTTGAAATTATATTATTAAATTTTGTCAAAATAAACAGTCAAATTTTAAAAATTTAATAACTAAAAAATTGAACAATAAACAATATATGTTCAAATTTATCATGTTTATTAATTGGTTGAATTACGATCTAGCTCATTAGCCCACCGAGACAAACTAGGTTATACATTTTATTTTTAGGGTTAAAAAATATCAAGCCAATTTAACTTAATCCAATAGACCAATCAAGTCAAATTCAACCAATAAAAATTAGGTCAAAAGTGTACTAGACCTATTTGGTCCAATAATTAAACTTTTAATTATTTTTATTAGATAATTTAATTTAAATTTCTTAAATTTCAAAATACCTAATTTTCACCAGATACAAAAAATATTTTTTAATATATATTTAAAAAATTAAAATTTCAATATTAAATTTATATAAAACTAACATTAGTTAAATTTAATAACTCAAAAAAATTACAATGGATAATATTTAATAATTCAAAAATAATTTTAAATATTTAATAATTAAAAATAAATATTGACAAACTATACATAAATATTGATAGATAAAAAAAATACGAGAAAAATGAGAAGTGAACAAAAAGATTAGGGAGAGAGAGAGGAGAAAGAGAGAGGGAAATAAAAATAAAAAATATATTTAAAAAAAAAAAACAGAAGAAATATTAAAAAAATTACACGAAATCTTAAAATTTTTAATGAAATTGTTAAATTATTAGCGCCATCAAAACTTAAAGTCAATTTAAATTATATCTATAAATATCATATTTCGTTTGGGCAATATATCATATCTTATTCTTTTAAATAATAATAAGTTGATTATTTTCACTTTTCAAAATTTAAATCAACTTAAATCTTAGTTAAAATAAATGAATTAGAACATAATCAGACTAGTTATAATTTAAAATATTTCTTTTTAATTGATGGCTATGCATATAACATTAACTACATTAAGTTCGGAAATTATAAGGCATTTTTCAAGGATATTTTTACAAGACATGCAAGAATATTCCTCAATCACTACTCCTTGACATTTGCTTGCACATACATTTCCATCATTTGTCAACATACCAGAATCAGAAGAGAGTCGAAACTAAGTTCTAAATTTGACATTTAATACTCATATAGTACAATACTAAAGCCTGTAAATCTACTTTGATCTTCCAACTTACAAAAGGAAATTCACAATATGGGCAGAAGAGAAAGAGACTTTGGGGTAACCTGGTCAGGAGTGCTTACAAAATTGAAAAGCTTTCACACTGCTCTGACTGGTTCAAAAAAATAAAAGTAATTTTATACACCTGCAAAGGGAAACATGTATCAATTTGACACAGAAGAACATAATACCATATTGTTAAAAAAACTTCAAGGGAAAACATACCATTGATAAACTAGTACTGGTACAGAAAATAAAGCTAAAAAAATAAATCTTAATCCCAGACCAAAAGACTACATGATAGTTGACCCTAAATAAATATGAACAAATCTAAAAAAGATGAAAGAAAGAGAATCATCCGCTCATCTTTATAAAGTTGCTTACCAACTAACATAGGAATATTGAACTACAACCAACCTCAAACAGTTTCACCATTATATTAACTAATTAAGGTTAAGCAGATATTAACAACTTAATAATAGTCAAAATTCCAATTTTCAGTAGCATATAATAAATTTTGACAGTGGCCCTCATAAATAGAATATAAATGAACTTCTAGGACAGACAGCAAGGAAGTCGTTGAAGCAAATCCACTGAAACATACCTACCATACTTGATGCTGAAGCAGAAGGCTGGATACACATGACATATAAGTTGGGAATTGGGAGAACATAAATTCCATCAGATTTCTCTTTGCCTGCAGCCCATGGGCATCGAATGGAGCAACTGATTACAATTAACTATCACCAAGAGTAGCAATCTGCCCAAGTGCTTGTTTTGCACGAAGCTGTATCAACAAAAGAAAATTTACAAAATGACTTAAAGTACTGCTAAAGACTCGAAAGTAAGCAAATCTAAACTCAAGAATGGTAGTTCAAAATACTAACTAATTTCACCATATTTAATGAAATTATTCCCAAAATACACTTATTTAATTCAAATTTTATTTCCAATGACCCTTTTTATTCTCGTAATATCAACCACATGGCTTTCTAAAAGGAGTATCCCCATTTAAATCAAGTTCCCATAGAATTAAGATCTTTCAATTCCATCAATTAACATGAAGGGTAATTTGGAGAATGAAGATTAAAAGACCTTCACATCCATGCAAGGATCGTTGGCCATCCTCTTTATTTGAGATACAATGCCAACATTATGCAGTTTCACAATCCTATCAATTGCACCGGGACTTGCAAGAGAAGTGAGATTTACTATGATCCAAACAGCAGCTGTGCGTAAAATATTATCAGAGCTCCGTAAAAACCGGCTGAAGAAAGAGTGAGACACATTTTCTGCTTGTGAAAAGAGTAGCTGCATGATGGCATCTTTATGAGTCTCATTTCCGCTTGCAATATTGACGAGTAAGTACATTGCCTGCACAGAAAATAAAAAATAATAACAATCAGCCTGAACTTGAAGAATAAGATTTCAATACAATTGCACTTTTCTTTTTTCATATGCTCATTGCGTTATTTAGTTATTTCCATATTTTCAGGAGAAGAAAAATACTTTGTTAACCCTTTATACTTCCCTTTGAGATTGAATAGGATATTTGAACGAGTCAGATTCAAATAACAACAGACTGTAACAACAGTTTTAATTATTACATTACATAACCTTGAACCAAGTTTAAATGTTTGCTTTATATTATAAATGTCTTGTATCATTCAAACAACATTATTAACATAATCATAATATGTATGATTACATTGGAACATAGATACTAATGTCAATTGTAATGAATGTATTCCACCAATGACTGTCTCAAATGTTATTTTCAACCTGTATCCCAATTCCAAATTTTGAAAATTTTTGCAATTGCCTTCCAACAGCATCCAGTATGATACCACCTCCAGCAAAAGCATATTCAACACAATCCATGCTTCCATCAACAAGATTGCGCATAAGGGTCAGAGCTTGTTCTTGAACAGAAGGCTCAGGATCTGCAGAGTATACAGAATCAATAACAATTTTCTTTGGCTCACACCAATTGATCAGAAAAAATATGCACCGACAATGAAGATCATTACCACAGATAAGGCTAGCTAAAGAAGATACTGTCAACTCCATAAAAATTCCTTCCTTACACATTTTGTCCGCATGAAATACTGTGTTCTTCAAGACACATACAGCATTTAACCGTAAAGATGCATCCATAGACTTTGTCAATTGAACAAGCTCCTTAATACCTCCACATTGCGTGAATGTTGACCTCTGTGGTGTAAAGTCAACCACTATGTTGCCAATAGCACCAAGGGCAGCAACCTGGAAGACAACATAAAAAAAGCTATGCTTGCTAAATTTTAACAAAACTAATGAGGGAAAATCTCTTTGAATATGATCCATAAGTAATAGTATAACTTTTGAAAGAGGGGAAAAATGAAGTGCTGTTGAGAAAAGGTCATACAGGATATAATTAAAGTTAAGCATCAAATTGTCATTAAACATGCATTTCATTTGTGATAACCTCATTTACTTTAGTGCTCAGTAGTTGGAGTTTATTTAACAATACACCAGATCCTCATGTAACACGTCCATTTTTTTACGTAGTTGACATGGTTCAAATATTAAATATAGTCTATTTTGAATGCTTAATTCTGAATATCATATTGTACAGCATTTTAATCCAAAACTAGCACTTTAAGTCAGCTCCCCCTAACTCAGCATCAATTACAATTCATCAAGAGAAATGATAGTTAAGTTAGTTAATTTTAATCAATAATGTTATCAATTTAAACTTTATTCCAAAAATACGCATAAATTAAATAGTTTAAGTAGCAGTTATATTTATTGACATTACATGTAATTAAAGAGATCATTGTTCTCAACAATTAGTGAGTTAAATTATTAATAGGCCAATGGATGCATCTACTTGCACGGAGAATGAGTGCATGTCTTGTTAATAGATTTTACAATAAGTTATAAAAGGAAATTATCAATTAGTACATCAAAAAGTGAGTCTATGTTTCTTATAATTAGGACAAGTATTATCAGACCCAGCTTGGACTGATTTGACCCGGGAACCAGACCCCTAACCGGTCCAAACCACCATTTGGATTAGACATGTCTCAGATCCAGTGAGAATCGGTTGACTTGGATAGATTTTGTGAAAACTGGTGACCAGGTGTGTCACTGTCCTGGCTGGGTCATGCTCTTTTCTCTTTTTTTCCAAAAACTTGAAACGTTGTTTCATTAAAAATAAAGGTACAAATCAGAATCAGCACTGTCTTCGACCTTAGCATTCTGGAATTGGGAACAAGTTTACGAATGAAACCCTATTACACGACTCAGTGCCCCTAGCCGACACGGCAACACGGCCAGCTTTGTCCACCACCATCACCAAACAGCGCTGCCCTGTCCTTGCTCGCCACCGCTGCTTCGTCTGTCATCGACCAGTGCAGCAACACCACTGGTAGCACTGTGCTATGCATCTCTCCTAGTCTGGTTGTCTCTCCATCTGATGTAAGTATTTCTTTAATTACTGCAATGCTAGTGTTATTATTTCCTTATATTGGTCGAAGACAGCGCTGCTTCTGATCTCTATCTTTTTTTTGCCTCAACCTTGTGCTGCACAGTGCACATGACATACTTGTTCTGCCGAATCTGTCCTGGTGCACAGCACACTATTGTCCAGCTGGCTGTTGCACACTTGCAAACATACTTAACTAGTAAACTTCAATGCTGCATATTATATATTCATTGATTTCATTCAGATTATTTATTGGTAGAAATTCACTATTTAATTATATGCTAGCCATATATGGTATAATTAGAGAATAATAATAAAGTAATTTAGTGTGGACTGTGAAGACTCTCATCCAATTCAACATTGCTTGTATATTCGGCTCATATAATAAGATGTAACCTCTTACATATTACAGAGGGATCGTGCTAAAACAGTGACATTCCAATTTTTTTTAGAACTGCTCATGCATCCATTGGAGTTGGCATAGTGGTTAATGTGAACTGTGAATGTGTGGCAACATATTGATAAAATTCACAAAGGTTGTTGATTCACTTGATTGATATTGATCTGTTTTATACTGTTGCATTTATTTAATTGACAGATATTGAAAGTTTGATGTTGTTGCTGTGTTTATTTAATTGCCATGGCCCATGGTCTCTCTTTTACTCTCTATTTATGGAAAATTGATACATATGATATGGATAGCAACGGGGCAAGGCGAGTATGCACTTCACAATACCCGTCCCCATACCCGACGGGAATGGAATTTGTATCCTCATTCCTGTTTCCGTTGGGTATCTAATGTACTAGTACCCACCTAAAAATTAATTAAATATTTTTTAAAAAAATAAAAAACAAAAATTTTAACATATAGTAGTAATTATAAAATTACATTAGTTAAGTTCCATTTGACATAAATTTAAAAGAGTAAAAATTATATAAATGTGAAGTAAATTTTTTAAAAAATAAATTGTTTTAGAAATTTAAAGTGGAAACATGTACGAGACAGATAAGCATATACTCATCCCCATTCCCGTACCAGATTTATTAAATCAGTGATTTAATAAATCGGATATTACCTGTACCTGTATTGAGTCAAACTAGGTATTTCTCAATTTTGTCGGGACAGATTTGAGTATTACCCACAGGTATGGATTTACTTGTCATCCATATACATATTGATACAATTTCCTAAGGTTGTTGATTCACTTGATTGGTATTAATCAATTTTACACTGTTGTGTTTATTTAATTGACAGATATGGAAAGTTTGAAATTGCCTGAATTTGACACCACTTTGACCCTTTGGGCATAAATACATTATTTGTTTTATTATGCTTGTGCTTTTTGGATTTTTAGCTGAGTTTGTCTTGTGAAATTATTGGATTTAACTAAAACTTATCTTTTAATAATGGATTTTAGAACTTATGTTTTGATTATGGATGTTAGAACTTATGTTTTGGTTATGGAAGTTAATTGAGACTTTTTAAGCCTTTAGAACTCTGTTACACCTTCCGAATTATTATTAGGAAAATAATAACAAGTTAATAAGAACTAGACCAACTTAATCCATCAAGCAGTCAAGAAAAAAACCTAATCCTTGAACAACTCAAATTCAAGCATATCTACAATCAATACATGGTGTAAGAGAATAGGATATAGTTATCATCAGAAGAATAACTTGTGCATATTAACCTTAAAATTATAAATGTAATTTGTTTTTTAACCCTCAGTTTCCACAGTTTAAATTTCACTTTAGCATGATTGCTTGGAAGTTTCCTTTCTGCACTTCTCAAGGAAAGAAAGCTACCAAGTACTCGATTTAACTAAAATACAAGAAATAGGAACATGTAAATATCACAAGACGTACTTGGACAGAAGTAGAAGGATCAGATAGAAGCCGAATCAAAGGAGCCATAATCCTTTCATTCATGAAATAACCTGCACTCAAAATCTGAATGGCATTTTATGAGAACTATGCTATACATAACATGAAAGACAGAGTGCCATTAGTCACAAGTTACACACCTTGACTGAGCGAGAGACACTTTTTAAGCAAATACAAGCTGCAGTGCGCACATTTGCATCAGCATGTGTTAAGGCATCAAGTAATATATTTACGACCTGTATTCACAAACAGTGTAGCAGAAATTGCAAGTGGACTTAGTATCTAAGGTCATAGTTTACTGGTATTTTTTTTTCTATTACAAGATTGAGAAGAAACACAAATTGCTTATCATTTACCTGGAAGAAACACAATGCATAAAACACATCAATAAATGTCCAAATTCACTTCCACCCATAATTCAGTATCATGACATCAAGCTAAGTGGTAACCTAATTAGATATCACATGTAAGTTGTTTATGCTGAAAAAGTAAGCGAAGGCCACATTTACACAGAAACTGCAATACCCTTTGAGTAAGTACTACCAGTAAGAAAAATATCTGCCTAATGACACTAACTCGAAAAATTTTAACCATTCAATTGTGTATAAAGCACACCCACTAATGAAAAATAAATAAATCAATCAAAGACAGTTGAAACCCACAGCCTTGATTTCAAGACTGAATCATAAAAAACCCTAAACTGTGGTTGACAGATAAACTAAATTGTTCTGGAAAATAACTGTAGGCACACAGACATGAAAAAATAGTTGCTTCATGCTTGTTTCATGTGCTACAAAATGAAGACAAACCATTACCACATTCACATATCCAAAATTACAATCTGTCACAGAAAAGGAGGGACAAGAAGGGAAAAAACTCAGTAATAACATTCTGTAGAAAGCTACTTTCAAGTCTGTTAGTATTAGAATTTGTAAATCCTAACTACTAATCCTGTCCATTATCTCCAACCACGTATCGCCTGCTACCTTTCATACTTCAACTAATCCCATTGTAAGGTGCTTTAAGAAAAGGTAAGAAATTAAGAACCAAAACTCTAAAGACTTGCTATAGAAACAGCCAATTGCAGTTTTCTTTTTTAATTTCCATTTGTTGAGTCTGAAACAAAGAAGACAATCATATATGATGGCGAAAACTAAAAAACAGTTGCTAGCAACAAATATATGAGATTTACTAGTAGTTTCCATGAAACAACAGACCTGCAATGAAACAAACATAGACCTGCAGCACTCCAATTTTGAGCAAAGATGTGCCAAGGCTAGAAATATCCCTTCGAGGCGTTTGGGATGTAAAGCGCGATTTTGCAAGTGATCGTAGAACTTATCAATAGCATTTGCCTCAAATGCTAACCTCTGCAAATCTTCTTTTTCCGCAACTAAACTTGAAAAAGCAAAGGAAGCATCATCTCCAACTTGACCAGAATCATCAAGGAGCTCAAGTAAAATATATATCAATTTGCTTTTGATTCCTACATCTTGAAGATAGGCAAAAGATGAATTCTTTACACAAATCAGGCACGAGCATGCTAATAACCTTGTTCGAGGATATCTGTCCTTGGTTAATTCGATTACTGAACTCAAAGATCTTCCATTTTGAAGGTCCACAAATTTAGATACAACCTCTGGATTGTTTTTAAGAATTGTGGCAACAGACTCTAAACTAGAATCTCGCTGGCTTAGAGAACCATCAAGAAGGCTAATAAGTTTTTCTAAAGCACCATCAGAGCATAATATTTTTTGTTCATCGCTTGTCTCACAAGAATGAATAACAATGCTTGTACCTAGTCCAGTAAGATTTTCATTCCCACTTTCCAATAGTGAAAGAAGAAAATGTTTGTCTTGCTCTTTAAAAAAATCATACTTTGGAGCTAGTTTTGATTGATAAATCATTCGTAAAGAACGTGCAGCAGCATCCACAACCTGAAATCAAGGCGGAAAAAGTTAATTAGATGGCATCGAAAAAGAAATAAATAAAGAACAGGCATATCGTATATCACAATAATAATTAATGTACAAGGGTTAAGGACAGGTATGTTTTGTTCTACCTACTTCATGCCAACATAGAATAAAAGGCATAAAGAAGTACTGAAAAGTATTCCACATTCAAAGGGTAAAAAACACTGAAATAATAAATGTGCTTCCTGTAACCTCTGTCCATTCGCCCTAGCACTAAAATATGAAAGCAAATAGCTTAAAACAGAATAGATATACAAAGTAGTTATACTTGGCAAATCATGTCCACACCCCTCTGACTGCATTGAACTAGGATGAATGCCTACACACCATCACAACCAATTCATAAAGATTGTAGACGCATTAGATTATAATACACATATTTTCCCCACACAACTTCTGTTTATCATAACTAAATTGACTTTTTGATATTTCATGAAGAGGTTTTGCCAACAAAATGGGGATTCGTCAACACCTCTGGTAATTAGAAGCTGCCACTTCTTCAAATCAAGGATGATTTTACACCATATGTGAAAACTAAAGGAAGAAGTGAAAATCAATGTATATTTGCTTGTATTTGTAAGCAAGTAAAGAGCCAAGCATGCAAGAAGACTGGGTTGCCATTATCCTCAATGAATTTTTCCCTTAAAGAGAAATTCAAAGTGAGACTGCTTTGTCAACAGCTCCAAATGCCCACCACTCGCAGTCAAACAAAAATATAATTTATCTAATCATATGTTGCACTCAAAAATGCTTCATGCAAGGATAGTAAAACATAGGTTACCAGGAGATTAACAACTAGACTCTTCTTTCATTCCAATTCTACCATGCAGAGGAGACAAAGCCAAGTTTCGGCCCTTCCAATTTCTCTACCTATAGGTGAATTATGCAATCACTCTACCGCTCTATTTTTCTATCCCTTTCCATCCCCAATCCATCCTACCATGAATCTCCTAAATTGCATAATCGTGTTCATCACTAAGCAAGAACACACGTAGTTTTTCTTGTCACACTAGTAACAAGTAGTAACAATAAAAAACCTAGCAAGAAAAAGAAAGAATGCATCAACAACTAGCAACTTAACAAAAACACAGAAAGACGAAATTACAACAATCCAAGATGCGTCTACTCTTGAAACTGTAGTTGATTAGTAGATAAGCACATAAACTATTTTCAAGCGAGTTATTCAGTTCCTGAGTAATTTCCAATAGTGCTTCTCGATTTCTTGCAATTGCAATTTCATCTTAAGCAAAACTGTTACGAATGAAAAAGATAATCAATCGAATTGACCTTGTTGTCAGCGGCGGAGAGGAGCCTGATTAAATGAGAATAAGCTCCGGCGTCGAGGACGGCGCGGACGCCGGCGTCGACGCCGCAGGCAAAGCTGCCGAGCGCGGCGGCGGACTGGACGATGAGGCTGGAGCCGGAAGCGGAAGCGGCGTCAGCTTCGGCGAGAGCAGAGGCGAGGGCGGGGACGGCGCCGAGCTTGATGTAGGAGAGCTTTTTGGTGCGGTTTCCGATGATCTGGTTCTTGACCTCTCGAATGGCTTTGAGCTTGATTTCAGTATCGGAGGAGGCGAGGCGGCGGAGGATCAGATCGGCGGAGGGAGGAGTGGCTGGCATGGTGGCGGCGGAGGAGAAGGCGCGGAAACCTTCTCATTCCACGATTGCGATGCCAGAAGAGAGAGATGTTTGTGTTCTTTTATTTCGAATTTTTTTTATTGCTTCTTGTGATAGGATTTAAATAAAGAAAAGGGCGAGTATGTGTCAAGTTTTGGTGAACGGATAATATAATAGATAGATTGGACTGCTGTTGTTCAACCTCGACGGCTGGACCCCATTTCAGAATTTGGAAAATGGCGCCCTTTCTTTCATTTTCCGCTTCTTACAGGTTAAACTTTTATTTTTCATATTTTAAATAAATGAGTCTTGTGTAATTAAAATTCGTATTATTAACTATAAACTATGCGTTTAATTTTAATCACAAATGATATGAGACATAATTTGTATCTCAAATTTTAGTTTACTAATCTCTGAACAACTAAAATAATTAGATTTTTCAAAGATGCATGTTATATTTAGCTGTTGATATACACGTGGAAATAGAGCAATAAATCTATGTTGCAAATTGAAACATGTAAAGATATCCTTCGTAGAGTATATTTGCAGTCTTTAAAAAAATTGCATAAAAATATAACTTGATAATCTTTATCAAATAAAATGACATTATTTTAACAGTAAATCCAGTGAATAAAAAAAATGATCACAGTAAATATAAATATAGATTTAACATTTAAAATGAAGCAGTAATATATAAAACAAATAATACATATTAATAATGTAAAGAAATTTTATATTACTATTTAATTATAAAACATGAATTAATCACCGATAAAATTGATTGATATTTAATACTTATAATATAATTATAAAAGTTACAAAATGTTATTCATGAGTGAGTGTGTGAACTTTAGCAATAATTATTTTAAAAGACATTTATTATGATTTATTTTCTTTTTATTGGTTGATGATATAATTTTTTTAAAAATAATAATGTAAAAAAATAAACTCTAAAAAAATCAATCGTTAAGATTTTATAATTTCATACTTCTCAAAATGCTTAATATTTAAAATATAAATAACAACATAATTCTAATACATTTTTTATGAAAAATAATATAATAACACAAACAAAAGATATTTATTTATAAATCAAGTCCATGAATGGGTGTCGACTATCGTGTAGAAGAAATTTTTTTTTTCTTCTGATAACCATTGGAACGCCAAATGTGCATTGGAATTTGCTTTTTTTTTTATTTCCCCCTTTGTAAACTCGGTTCTACCTTCGTAAATATTATGTATTGCAAGGTGGGACCGTGGAAGGTAAAACTTTCAATTCAGTAATGTATTGCTCAGGATAAACCACATTTAAAAATTAAATAAATAAATAAAAACATTATTGCATAAATGTTATGAAGAAATGACGTGAGAGAAACTATACTAAATTATTTTACAATTAGAAAGAAGCAAGAGTTTTTCTTGCAACAGCTAGGAATTCTGCTAAACGTAAAAGCAATATATATCAAAACTAAACAACAAATAAACTATTGTGACGCTTGACACAGCATCACCGAGAAGAAAATTTAGAAACCAAAATTGCAGGCCTGAATGAACTCTAATTCATAGTCAACATACTTTGCCCAAAGTGGCTTGAATTGAGTCATTGCAATGTCAAGCCAAGGTTTCATGTTACCGTTGAAATGCACCACTGCTGCATTCTTAATCTCATCCATGCCGATGCTTGGGTTATAGCCAAGTCCCAAAACATGCCATGACTTATCCATTGGCTTTGTTGTCGAGTAATATGTGATTAGACCTGGTGGCAATGTTCCTAATTTCCATAGTGTCCGGTTCTCGTTCTGCAGCAACATGAGCACACCGTGTTAAAAATGAAATGATACAAGCTCAACATAAAAAATAAAAATGATTGGAAATGAAATAAGTTGATGAGAATTAGACCATAACATACAGGGTTGTTATTTCTATTAGTTTCTTAGTATGCAGCCTCTAGCAACTCTGCTAGTGATGCAATGATTAACATAACAATATCAACAGGCATCAATTAATGTCAAATGGGGTTAATGATAATTTAATACCTGGGGTTGCATGTTACAATATGTTGTTTGAGAATGCAAAATACTTGAGAACTGAAGAGTTGTGGTAAAATAATAAAAGTCTTACCAGATTCTGCCAGTAATGATATTCTTCTGTGCATTTTTCCCTTCTCCAGGCATCCAAATCAAAGAAATTCATTCCATAAGCCCATGCACAAGCCTTTGGACTAAATTTTGCTTTAATCAAGGGGTGGGAGAAATTCATGTACTGTGCATATCTATGAAATGACCCAAAACATGTTTCTACAGCTCCATTCACCTTGCCATCCATATCAATCTTCCATAGCCCAGTAAGGTCCTTCTGAACCACTATGTCATCATCCAAAAACAAAATTTTATGCAACTTTGGATACATTTCTGGCAAGTAGAACCTCAAATGGTTCAATATTGACAAATATTTGGGATTCCTAAACTTCATATTAGTTGTGTCCTTTGTAGCATTCTCAAGTTTGTTCTCAAAGTAAAATCTCTGCAGGTTAGCAGACTCCAATTGTCGAAGGACAGGCACATAAGAAGAATTCAGAAACTTGTAATCCTCCACTGCCTTAACCTCAATGTGTGCACCATTATAATCCTTCAACTTAAACATTACTTGCATTGCTCCAAGGTTCATCTTATCAGTCACAACATGAAACACGTGCTTCCACGGCTCCTTCGCATTCTTCATTGCCGAATTGACCACAACAGATGCTGCAAGGACATTATCTGAGAACAAGGCATAGTGGTACAGGTTAGGATCTTCAACTTCTGGAGGTGTAGGCTTCCCCTCGTCAGAATACTTCTCAGGATGGGCAATCCTTTCTTCCATCAACCTCATGGAGAGACAATGCAAGCTCTTTGGAATTGACTTAGCAGCAATGAGGCTTGAGAAAGCTCCCTGCTTCTTTGCCTTGGATAACTGCTCATTCACTGAAAAAATTGTATCCTTCAACTTCTGAATCTTGAGCTGGTTATCGAAGGACTCCTTTGCTTCGCCGATCACCTGGCGTGTGGTTTTAATGCGCTCCTTCACTTCCTTCTCCAGTTGGCGAACCACAGATTCATCAACAGGGGATGCATCGTTGCTGAAAAGAGTCCTGTATTGAGGTTTGCTCATTAGATTCAAGAAGTTGTGCGATAGTTCTGCAAAAATCCTAACAAGCTTTGAGCTCTCAAGCTTGAGCTTGCGTGCATAGGAAGCATACACCAGAGCCAAAGAGCGATGATCATCAGCTTGCTTACGTATCTGGTCCAAGTGAGGCTTAAGGGGATCCGTTTTCAAAGCAAGAATTGATCTCTTTGTTGACTCAAATCCATGGGCAACACCACCATCAGAACCCTAGTTCACCAACACAATAGCATATTAGTAACCCCAGCTTCATCAAATCTTTTCCGTTTCTCAGGAAAAAAAAAAAAGTTCAAAGAAAATAACAAACTTTTTCCCTTCCCAGTAGTGACATTTCCATTGAAAATTTCCCATACTACAAGAACAAATCAAAACAAAACCTTTTTGTTTCCCAAGAAAATTAACAAGGCTAGTTTAAGAGCACAACAACTATATTTTTCCTTTCTCATGCAAAAAAATTATAAAAAAAAACTAGCAATTTTTTTCCCTTTCTAGTAGTGACATTTCAATTGGAAATGTCCCGGACTAAAAGAACAAATCAAAACAAAACAAACCACGTTTGTCTCACGAGAAAATTAGCACGCATCAAGCCTAGTTCAAAAGTACAACAACAAATTAGTCTAGCTCCATCAAATTTCTGTACTTTTCAAGATTAGAAAAAACCCAAAAAAAAAAAATCATTTCTAGTAACATTGCCATCTCTATTCCTTGAAGAAGAAAAAAAATAGCACGCAACTGGATTCGAACAGGATCAAATCCCGACCCATTTGAATCCCGACAATAAGATCCAAAACTAACCCCACCCCAACATTTTTTCTTCAGATTAAACTAACCCAAGATACAAAAAAAAAAACAGAAATCGATAGATTGAAGAAAATATGTATGTTCCGCGGGAAAAATCGCAAAGGGAAAAAAAATAATAATAATAATAATGATGATGGGGTTGAAAATTCACTAAGCAAAAATGAAAGGTTACCGTGTGCTTGGAAGAATAAGAATGCGTAGCGGAGAGGAAAGGCAGAGCAAAGAGAATGCAGAAGGTGATGGAGATAGCAGAAGCGGGGAGTGTGGAAGTTGGTTTCCTGGAACGTGGAAATACATTATTCATCATTTTGGTGAGTGAATCACAGAGAGTGATGATCTATTGTTTGATTCGGAAAAAACAACACATTACTCCCACAACTCAACTCAGATTTTCTCTTTCACCCCATTCTTCGCACATATCTCACAAATTTTAGTTGAGTTTAACTCGAATTCCGGTTATTTATTTGAAAGAACAAAAGTTATTTTTTTTGGTGAAAAAAAAAACAAATAATAATAGACATGTATTTATTTAATTTTGAGAAACCCTAGCTTATTTGACTGAGCATGAGTTGTAAAACTCCTGATAATGAGTTCGCTTATGGATAGAAAAAAATTTCAGAAGCTTTTTGAGGATTTGGGAAGAAGTTAAGCAATTATTAGTTGGCATGGCAGTTATAAATTTTAAATAAAAGAACAACGATTAAATAAAGAGCTTAATTTTTATAAATTATTGAATATTAATGAAAACAATCCATTGTTAATTAATAAAACTAATAAATTTAATATAACATTGTATTTGAGTTTTATCTCATGCACAGGGTAAAAATACATGAAAGAGTCTTTTAGACTTAAAAAATCAATTATTTAAATAAAATTATATATATATATATAAGATTATTATATTATATTTATTATAATGTATTAAAAAATTACAAAAATATTTTTTTAAAATAACTTATTATACATATGTTAGATAAGACTTTAAAAATTCATGATTTATATCGTATATGTAAGTCAAATTCAATATTTGTAAAATTTAATATATTTATCTTCATTTTTATCTTGATATTAAATTGTTATAAAATATTTTTTAAATAATTTTTTTTTAATTAGATCCTTAAACAAGTTAGTATTACATGTTACGGAAGTTTGTCGATTTTTTTTTTTTTATGTTAGTGACTACTCTAGTATCACAATATATGTTTTTTTTCTTAATTTCTAACTATCTATAAGTAATATAGAAAGGCCATGCCGACATCATATGGTGGAGAGCTTCGGGCGGTTGCCGGTGTGTGTTTTCGAACTGCTGGCACTCTTTGCATTTTTGTACGTAGTCCTGGCAATCCGATTTCAGAGTAGGCCAGTAGTATCCACCAAGGACTCATACCCCTTGCCGAGCATTGACAGGCTGGTCGACGGAGCATCTGGGCATGCCCTCCTCAGTTTCCTCGATGCCTACTCCGAGTACAACCAAATAATGATGTACCCACCGGACGAGGTGCATACATCCTTCATCACCGACCACGCCAAATACTGCTACCGGGTAATGCCCTTCGGCCTCAAAAATGCAAGGGCCACTTACCAGCGAATGATGGACAAGGTTTTCCACCAGCAGATCAGGCGAAACATGGAAGTCTACGTCGACGACATGGTGGTCAAGACCACCTCGGCCACTGACCATACTACTAACCTTGCCGAGGAGTTCGCCCAGATCAGGAGACACAACTTGCGTCTCAACCCGGAGAAGTGCATCTTCAGCATCCAGGGAGACAAGTTCCTCGGTTTCATGATTACTAGCAGAGGAATCGAGGCCAACCCTGAGAAGTGCAAAGCCATTATCCAGATGCAGAGTTCGCAAACGGTGAAAGAAGTCTAACGCTTGGCCGGACGGTTAGTCTCACTGTCCCGTTTCATCCCCAGACTCGCAGAGAAAGCAGGGCTGATCTTCACTCTGCTACGGAAGCCAAAAGACTTCTAGTGGACGGATCAGTGCGAAGAAGCCTTCCGCAATTTCAAGACTTTTCTCACGACTCCGCCGATCCTACAGAGGCCAGATCACAAAATCGACCTCCTCCTTTACCTGACCGTAGCAAAAAATGCCATCAGCGCGGTAATAGTGCAAGAACATCAAAAAGTGCAGACACTGATCTACTTTATCAGCCGAGTCCTCCAGGATGCGGAGAAACGGTACCAAATGATCGAAAAATTGGCACTGGCACTCGTCACCGCAGCCCGACGTCTCCGACCTTACTTCTAGAGCCACCAAGTGATAGTCAAAACCGACTACCCCATAAAGCAAATCCTGAGAAAGCCGGAGCTCGCTGGGCGAATGATTGCATGGTCGGTCGAGTTGTTCAAGTTTGGCATCCAGTACGAAAGTTGGGGGGCCTTGAAAGCTCAATGTCTAGCCGACTTCGTAGCCGAGCTCATGCCTGCTACTGCCGAGGAACCCCCGGTATGGACTTTACACGTTGACGGGTCCTCCAACTCTAAGGGTGGTGGTGTAGGTATCATATTGGAAGGGCCAAACCAGGTCACTTTGGAGCAATCCCTCAAGTTCAGCTTCAAGGTAACCAACAACCAGGCGGAGTACGAGGCACTTCTCGTAGGACTAAGGCTGGCTCGTGACCTCGGAGCCCGAAGAGTGAGTTGCAACAGCATCTCGAAGCTCATGGTGGAGCAGCTCAGTGGGACGTACCAGGCAAAGGATACCCTTCTACAATGGTACTTCCACATCGCATCCCATCAGATCTCGTCCTTCGACGAGTTCACCATACAACATGTGCCGCGAGAACAAAATGCTCAAGCCGACCTCCTGTCAAAGCTCGCCAGCACCAAAAGGCCTGGACAGCACCAGACTATCATTCAGGAGACTTTGCACTCACCTAGCTTGGACGACCATATATATATATATATATATATGTGTGTGTGTGTGTGCGTATGTACAATTTCAACAATAATTGAAAGAAAACATAACATTATATAAGTATAAAAATATGTATAATAATTTAGTATTGAAAAAAAAAAGTTGTCAATCAAGCAACACAACTAACAATCAATTACATTAGGGTAGCTCAAAAGTCACCACAGTAATCATCGAACATGGCTTCAAAAGCATCGCTTCCAACCTAATCTTATATTGCTCTCATATAAATATGATTGTCATAGTCCAACTACAAAGAAATATGCAAAGTTGATATTGAGAGAATAAGCATATATCAAGTATCGAAGTAAATACAAATATATTACCAAATACTCATATGTGAACCACACAACATAACACCTCAACATGACATTCAACAACTTTGAAAGGTAGACAATAATCTTAACTTACACCAATAATCATGCCATTCAACAACAAATCCACGTAGCATATGAACTATACCAAAATTTGACATATTATACGCATAACACCTCAATTACATACACCGTCATATATTTAATTACAAAAATCTTCTATAATAAAGGTGAATAGTTTAAGTTATTTAATTCTACTGAACCAACACAATATTTTTGCTCCTGTTAGATCAATGGTCAACTTGGATATCAATCCATGATAACATGATTTCTCATATTTCGTCACTTAAATTAGGAAGTCTATTATTTTTTTTAGGGTAAAACAGTTTCAGTGTGAGTCTACTACGACAACAACTTGTATAACTAAGTCATCTATGAAATTAGCCCATTGACTACCCTAAAAATACTATACCTTCCAATACTTAGTAAGGGATTTTGGTCTTCAATCTTATACCTTACTTGATTTAGTCACTTGTAATTAGTATAACTCAACTTAAACCTTATATTGTGCTCATTTATAGTTGATATACTTCGGCCTTGCTCCATACCGCATCAACTAAAGTTCTATAGGAGACTTAACTATTCGCTTCAAGAATCAACTACTCAACGAGAGTTTTCAACATTTAGGCTCATAGAACACCAACACAACATCCTCACAATGAGATATCAAACTTTCTAAATATATGCACTCACCTAATCTCGAGTCAATCAACAGAACATGTGTTAATGCCTCAAGCATTCTCAACACCATCGTTTTACCAATACAATAATAGAACCATTTATGTACATTATCTCAAATCACCGTATAAAAGAAAAAAAAAACATATATCAACACATAACATATAATAAATTTAACTAACATATACATCTTCACCATTTTTATAAAGAAAACAATACATTTATATAAGGTAAACCCACACTTGACGTCATTTTCCCTACTATCGACATCATTGAGACAAAAAGCTCTCAGACTCATCCATGCCCAACTCTATTAAACTCCCGTCTGACGTGATTGAAGCAAATAACCTCCCATGACCTCTATTGCAATCATGCCTAATCTGACTAAGCCCACACCTAACCCCATTATAAGTAGAGAACTTATGTCTGACTCGCACTCAACATCATTAAACCAACGTTCAACATCATATAGGTTGGCTGTTTTTGTCTTAATCATGTTAACACCACTCAATTTGGGCACGACATCACCAAATCAAAGGGTTTTCTCTCTCACCCATATCTGATGTCATTCAACCCATGTTTGGCGTGACAAAGTCAAAGAACTTCCTTCTACTCACGCCCAACACCATTAGTCCTACACCCAACATCAATGAGGCAAAAAGTCTTTAACTTGTTTTATGGTCGTTACCTTGAAGTTGTGCCTGGGGATGATGGTTAAATATGCACTTAACAGAATCACGAAATTAATTAATCCACCTGAAACTCAAAAGATTCCAAGCATGCATTGCAACAATTCATACATATTCATCATCAACAACTCACTTTCGCACCCAATAAACAACATGCAACAACAAATATGATAGAATCACCACATTTCACATCCACAAGCTCAAAATGCCAAAACACAACAAGCAACAAATCCCACCTTAAATTCACCCATGTAACCATGAATTTGACGAAATCTAGACACAACGACTCAACAAATCAACATGAATTATAGTTTTAGCTCCCCTTACTTTAGAATCAAAGAGAAACGATAAAAGAAAAGAAAAAAAACGGTGAATCAAAGCTAACACCAAAGCTTTGCATCAACTCAAATTCTCAACTTATGAAACTTACAATCATCAATCAACAACAATAACTTTTAGAAAAAGAATATTGTAAGCACTCGAAGGTTAGTACAGGAAAGAATTTCTCATTGATTTCAAAGCACATCTCTTTAATTCATTTCTTTAGATTTTTTTAAAAATAAACTTGTGAAACTCAAATATTATAGAAAATCTTACATATTTTTTTCTTATAATCAAATTGAATATTTATCTAGAAAAACTATTAAATACCTTAAACTCATAAGAATTTTTTGAAATCTAAAAATTTATCATAACAAATTATTGCAACACAATTATCGATAAAAATCAACGATAATTAAAAAATTGCACGGTATTACATAATGCCTTAGAAAAACACAAAATTAGGAGACGCTTTCTACGATTTTTTGGTTTGTCGAAAGAACTTTAATCTCTCTCTCTCTCTCGAATCTCTCTCTCTCTCGAATCACAGGGGTCCATACTTCATACCAAGGTTACGGCTATAATTAATAATCAATTAAATTCTTCCCAATTCCTTTTCCCCATAATAAATTACAAGGTGACAAAATTAAATTAAATTCTTATTTCTTGATTACACGGTGCATCTGTTTCGTTATACGTTTACGCTCCATTCAACGGTTAAAACTAAAAATTAAAATATGATTTTCGACAAAAAGTGATATGGATTTTTCTTAGGATTTGTCTAGAAGTTGTTATAATGATCATATATTTAGTTTTCTTAATTATCCATAAATTTTGCTCTGAGTGTTTAAAATATCTAAAATTAATTTTTAATATACATTTCATATATTTTCAATTAAAAATAATTTTTCAGACAATAAAGTTCTCCCACTAAATAAATTTAAACTTGGTATAACTGATTAAACTAGAATAATTTTGCACCATTTGGTACACTATTTGGATAGTAAATGAAATAAATGATTAATATATATTTAGAAATCTAACTAAATAGTTAGATTTTCTCTGAATAAATTAAAACGTCAATATAATTAATATGACAATTTATTAACTTGAAGTAAATAATGTTATATATAAAAATAGACGACGTACATTATACGCATCCAACATCTACTAAAATAGTAACAATTTTAATATGTTTATATATTTGTGAATACGCGAGATATATAATTTAATAAATTAATGATGCTATCATCCTATGTACTTGAAGAGTGAACGCGAAAAGAAAAACAACAGCAAAATATAATGAAAAAGTTAAAGGATACGGCCAACGACAGCTTCGATGTTCCTTCTTGTTGATTCCTAATGGAGAATTTTGGGATCTACAAGTGTTTTCTGAATGTTCTCGAAGAGCTAAATATGTGAATATATACAATTTTTTAAGAAGATCTTGTTAATATATTATTTTAGATATGAAATAAATTATATTAAAAATATAAACACTTTGATTACTTTCAAGTTGTTGTTCAATTTTAACAAAATTTGACATATATGATCTAAGAGATATAAACTTTCCATCTAATGGTTGAATTTATAAAATTCACATTTAATATAAAGTTATTGAGCGGTATAACACTTAGTAAAAGTTACACCGGTGTCGTTTGAACCTTCCTCTTTTTTTTATATGTATTTATGATCTTTAATAAAAATTAATCATTACTTTTAATATAAAATATTTATAATTAAAAATAATAATAATATTTTTTTTGACAACGAGAGCTAGAAGAAGAAAAAAAAGACAAACTAACAAAGAATAGAGAAATAAACAAAAGTTAAACTCTAGGAAATGCAATCCTATAAAAAAAGAGAAGGATTCAAACGACACCGGTGTAACTTTTACTAAGTGTTACACTGCTCAATAACTTTATATTAAATGTGAATTTTAAAAATCCAACCGTCATATCTCTTAGATCCTATATACCAAATTTTGTTAAAATTGAATAACAACTTGAAGGTAATTAAAGTGTTCATATTTTAGTATATTTTCAAATGTATATATTACGTCAATTTTATTTTATGAGAATGAAGTATCAAATCATCTTAGATTAATGTAAAATTTGGTATATATGATCTAAGAGATATGAACTTTCAATCTAATAGTTAGATTTTTAAAATTCATATTTAATATAAAGTTATTGAGCGGTGTAACACTTAGTAAAAGTTACACCGGTGTCGTTTGAATCCTTCTCATAAAAAATAGTAATATAGCAAAAAATTTCAATTATTTTAAGAATATTGAAAAAAAATTGACATTTATTTTGATCTATTTGTTGGATTGTTTTCAAAAACACTGAATATGTGAACACCGTTTGCGTAAAACAATTTTGAAAAACAAAATCCAATGTCTCAAATATAATAATTAAATAATAATAAATTATATTTCATTATTTTAGTTTTTAATGATAAACATTTTATTAAATGTAATCAAATACGTAACTTAAATTAATCTAACTAAAAATAGGGAGTGAGTTTATAGACTTAGAACAGATTAAGAAACTTTAAAGTATAATCACATACAACACTATTTTCATCATTTTTTCTTTTGAACATTATTTATAAAACGTGTTGATCCCATTCAATGGAGAAATTAAGAAATTCAAGATCCAAAGTTGAACTCCATGTGGCAATGAAACAACATTTAGTCAAATTCATGATACTACTAGTTCCCACTAATTTTCCTGCACCTACTTCGAAGCATTATTTTAGCAATGTGAATTTCATTCTCATGCCTCAAAATGATTAAAATGATAGTGCTCAATTTCAACGCTTTCATTCACTTGCTAGCTGCACACATGTCATCCACTTGAATCTAGATCTATTTGTGATCATACAGTGTGTCAAATTTATTAATAACTCTATCTCATTTTATTTATAACTTTTGCAAAAGAATATTGGTTATTATTTTATAAGAATAGTCTCAGAAATATAAACAGACTAGTTTAAATATAACTGCAATTTATACAATGTATTTACTTATTTATGAAATAAGATATTTTAATTATATAAAAATATTCTATTATAAAAATTATTACAATCAATTATCTTCTTAGCATTATCTTAAACAAATAAATAATAACATTGCATTCACCTCTTGAGTCTTTTCAAATGATATATATATCATCTAATTTTTAAGTGATCTTTATGTATTTATTTAAGTAACACATACAATTACTTATAAAAAGATAATATTATTTGTGCATTATTAAGAAACATCAAATTATTAATATAAATGTAAATAATTAAATGATATTTGATCTATCACTTAATTTTAATTCACAAATTATATCTTAAATATCATGTGAATTGTGATTTAAAAAGTATATCAATTTTAAAGAATAATCATAAAAAATTGATTGAGAAATTATAATTTATAAAATTAAAGAATAATAAAAATTTTCATAAAAAATATAATATTACACATAATTTAAAAATAAAAGATAAAATATAATTAGTAGAATATAAATTATTTTTCCCCCCTTCAATTTAACTAATGTCTTTATTTTAGAGGAGGTGAATTATTTTAAAAAATTAGAAAAAAAATGTGACTAATTGTAAAAGAAAATTTAGATTTTTTATTGGGTTGTTGCATGCAATTCCAAAGTCGGAACCTTGAAACAGAAGGGTGGTTGACGCGTTGCTCCACATCCATGCCTTTACCGTGCCGCTACCTTTTTATTTGCTTCCCGTGTGAACATCGCAAATATACATCTGCGAGTGCGTGGTAAGAAACTGAATTTCCCTTTTTGGCTGTATGCTCTTTCTAATTCAAAATGCATATCTATGGAATCGCTTGCATTGCAAAAACTTCTTTAATTTGTATGTGTTGTTCGTTCTTTTTTAATGACCGGGAATTCTGTGGGTGTGATTTGTGAAGGGATATGAGAGCTTGAAAAAGTGGTACTCTTTTTGTTTGAACTTGGGTGTGTGTGATGGAGTTTTCTACAACTATGCGAGTCTGGACCCTTTTCCTGTTACTATTGCTACTACTGAAGAGTGATATTGTGCATTCGGCTTCTGATTACTTGATTGGGCTTGGAAGCTATGACATTACCGGTCCTGCAGCTGATGTCAACATGATGGGGTATGCTAACGCCGACCAAATTGCTTCTGGGCTTCACTTCAGGCTGCGGGCTCGAGCTTTCATTGTTGCTCAGTCAAAGGGTAACCGGGTAGTTTTTGTGAACCTAGATGCTTGCATGGCTTCACAGCTTGTGACGATCAAAGTGATTGAGAGGCTCAAAGCAAGGTATCAATGATGACTACTTCTGTGCTCTCAAGAAATTATTATGATTATAACTTGTACAAATTATGGAATATTGGTTATGTGGGACATTTTTTTTTTTATAATGTTTTTCAAGCTGCTCTGGCATGGCTGACGGACTAACCGCCTATGCGTTGGTTGCATTTTAGGCTTGGTGCTTGAGGGGTTCTGTACTGTTTGACCAAGTAAGTTGGTCACGTTTTAGGTTTGGCACTTGAGGGGTTGTGAGCTGTTTGACCTAGTATGTTGGTCACATTTTAGGTTTGGTGCTTGAGGGGTTGTGGACTGTTTGACCAAGTACGTTGGTCACATTTTAGGTTTGGTGCTTGAGGGGTTGTGGACCGTACGACCAAGTAAGGTCGTGGATGGCTGACCTATACTTGTAAGACACATCATTTTTATGACCAAATCACTCTAGCATGTTAACAGGGAAGAGGCCCTAAGGCTCCGGAGTCAATGGACCTCTCGAAACTTCAGGCCAAGTACAATAAAGGTGGGAACCTTTAGTGCTGGAGGACACGTTTATTAAGTAGGCATGACTAGTCACACTTGGTTGAATCTTACTAGGTTTCTTGAGTTCATATTGAGCATTAGGACTCTCAGGCAAATTTTGTTCTTTAGAGTGAACTGCGGCTGATGTTTCCATATAATTTGTTTGATCCCTAAATACGAGGCTGATTTTGTACTTTATTTTGTTTGACAGATATGGTGACCTATATACCGAAAAGAATGTGGCTATTAGTGGAATTCACACACATGCAGGTCCTGGAGGTTATCTCCAATATGTTGTGTATATTGTGACATCTCTTGGATTTGTTCGCCAGTCATTTGATGTCATTGTTGATGGCATTGAGAAAACCATTGTTCAAGCCCACGAAAATCTCCGCCCGGGATCAATATTTGTCAATAAGGGTAAGGAAAAAACTTCTCATTCCTTCTCTGTCTTTTCTCAGTTGGGTACTTATATACGGATGCAATGCACATGGACAATTTAAATGTTAATTATAATGATGGTAGTTTTGCATACTGCTGAAGATAAATTATAATTTAATTGTTAATTATGATCGTGCAATAAGGGCCTTTTCTCCCTCTCTAGTCTTTTGACAATGTCACATAGAGATAAATTATCTTCAACTTGCAGGAGATCTCTTGGATGCTGGTGTAAATCGCAGTCCTAGTGCTTATCTCAACAATCCTGCTGCAGAGAGAAGCAAATATAAGTATAATGTTGATAAAGAAATGACTTTGTTAAAGTTTGTTGATGATGAATGGGGTCCTTTGGGAAGTTTCAATTGGTTTGCTACTCATGGTACTTCAATGAGCCGTACAAACTCATTAATTAGCGGGGATAATAAGGGCGCAGCTGCAAGATTTATGGAAGACTGGTTTGAGCGAAAAGGGTCAGTAAGAATGGATTCTGTTGGATTTGATGATGGAATACCAAGAAGAATTTCAAATATAATTCCCAGCCTTCATGATAATCGTAAGTTTTTTTGCTTTAGGCTACAATGCATCCATTGACAAAATAAGCAGCTTCTTTGCCTTTATAGCATGTTCATTATGTAACGACAGAATTTGTAGGTTTATATGCCATGTGGGTCCATTTTTGTAGCATGTTTTTTTCCATGCAGAGTAAAAGCCTCAAATGGTGGTCTGACCAAAGGATTTTTTCTCCCTTGTGTTAGAATATATAAAAATATCTTATCATAATTTATAATATAATAGATTATCCTCTAAGGCTACTTTCCCTGTTTTTTCATTATCTCATGGGATTTGTTACCATATTTCCGTATTTTATCATGATTTGTTTCGTCGGTTAGTTAAAGTTACTGTTGGTATAAATTTAAGGTTTAGTGCTCTAGGTTTTATGAACTCATTGAATACATCAATACATTACCATTTATCATACATCTTAGTTAATATATTCAGTATTTCAATATCTTTTATCTTTCTTTATCTCTCTATACCTAAAAGTCCATAATTTCAAAATGCTATCAGGATCACACCATCCTCCTGACCTATTCCTGCCACTACATCGCAGCCAAGCTCCCCAAAATTAGGAGTTCTACTTTATTTTCCTGATTTCCCCCTTCAAACTAATCATCTCTTGCCCTATCAAGTTTCCGATTTTGCTTCCTTCCGTTGTGTTTTTCCTTCTTGCAAGTTTAGCTCTCTTCCAATTATGCTACCATCATTGTTGATCCCCAATTATTGTATCACCATTCCAGTAGATCTACTCCTGCTGTTTCACAACCTTTTTGGCTGCCGTTTGCAGCTGTCTGAATCTTTTCTTGCCAGTCACAATCTGATTTGACTCACCACATCCTTTGTTGCATCACCCATCTCTGCAAGTTTCAGTCATCAAAGTCTTCATGAGCCAACATGCGCTGCACAATTTTGGCTGCCCTCACCGGTGTGTGTGCTTTATGAGTCACCTTCTCGACTCTTAAAATTTGGACTTAAAAGTCTAGCTCAACCCCACAAAACCACTTTGTAAGTTGAAAACTACTCATGTTTTATAAGCTCTATTTAAGCCATATTGTTAGTCGATGTAAGACATAACACCACCCTTGAGATTGCAATTAAGGTAGCCCCCAAAGAGACTGCAACTTAGGTAGGTTAGGGATGACTGCAATTAAGGTGGCTTTTCAACACTCCTCCTCATGCCCAGGATGATTGCTGGTTTGGTTTTGTTTGTTTGTGAGCATATACTGTTTGATTCTCAAGTGTGCCATCTTTTTTGGCAGCATGGTAGAGGTCCATTCTGGTCATCATCACCACTGCCAGGCTCATTTCTCTATTTTCTATCCAAATCTGGGTTAAGTTTCTCATTTATTAAGCTTTTAGTAGTGCTTAACCAACATCACTCAGCTGTTTCCTTTTGTTTGGCTCTCCCAATTTCGTTTTTGACCTTGTTTGGTATTTAGGTCTTTGTTTTGAAGGATCCTCTAGTTTGGCTGTTGCCCCATTTCTTTTTGTTGCACCCCTCTTGTTGTTTGATTATTAGGCAGCTGTACTTGGTTTGTTGCATCCTCTTGTTGCGCCCCTTATGAAGTTAGTTGCATGGATTATGAGCTCTGATCTGGTGTTTCTAAGTTTTTCAAGTCTTCTCATGAAAGTCCTAATATTGGTGGAGTTAGTGGAGTTGTCTGTGTACAAGACAAGTAAATATCCAAGAATGGCTGATTGAGCAAACTTGTGAAACATACACGAATGATACCTTGCTTTATATATGTGGTATAAATAGGTCATCACTCATCAATATGGTGGTCATCTGATAATAATTAGTAAATGAATGTTTCAAACCTCACTTAAATATATTTGGTACAGACCATGAATTACTGGAGCTTGCTGCCTCATTCCAATCTCCTCCTGGTAAACCTGCAACTAAAACTTCAAGCGTTGCTAGACGTGTCAGAGGTGTCCTTAGGCAGGTTGACAAGCCTAGATTTGTATCTGCATTTTGTCAATCAAATTGCGGGGATGTTAGTCCAAATGTACTTGGTGCTTTTTGTACAGACACTGGACTACCTTGTGACTTCAATCATAGTACATGTGGCGGAAAGAATGAATTATGCTATGGTCGAGGACCTGGGTATTTTTTTTTATTGCATGCTCAAAGTTTCTTTAGTTTTTACAAATTTTCCTAAGCCTTATGGTTGCTAAAGTGCCTCCTATAAACTGATTTGGCAGTTATCCAGATGAATTTGAAAGTACACGTATTATAGGGGAGAGACAATTTAGAAAAGCAGTGGAGCTATTCAATGGAGCATCTGAACAGATTAAAGGGAAAGTTGATTTTCGACATGCTTTCATTGATTTCTCTCAGCTTGAGGTAAATCTTTCTAATTCTGAGGTCGTAAAGACATGCCCTGCTGCAATGGGATTTGCATTTGCTGCTGGAACAACTGACGGACCTGGAGCTTTTGACTTTAAGCAAGGTGATGATCAGGTAGCTACTGATAAGACCTTGTGCTTACCCTGCCCATTATCCTAGCCTTGTATTCTTAAATATCTTTGAAATTTCATGTTTATTTTTTCTAATTCTATGTCAGGGAAATCCTTTCTGGAAGTTGGTCCGCAATGTAATTAAAACACCAGGCAAGGAACAAATAGACTGTCAACACCCAAAGCCTGTCTTACTTGATACTGGTGAAATGAAGCTACCATATGATTGGGCAGTAAGTTACTCATTTATGCTGAATATCACGTGGTATAATCTCTAGGCTCAGTTCAATTATGTTCTGTGCTATCTGATTTGTAAAATGATGGAAGATTGATGACAGAGACTGTTTTAGCAGATTATTCACTTTCCTCAGAGCGTTGCATACCTTGATCACTATTCTTGGCAAAAACACTTTAATTCCTTCAATAAATGTAAATAATCTCAATAAAAATTGATTTTATAGTACCAGTTTTACATCACGGAGTCTAGTTTTTTTCTTCAGATACAAATTCTAGCATGCATTCTCCAGTTGTTTTGGCAGATGCTTTTCCAAGATGTGTGTTTTATGTTCTTTGATGACGGATGTTCCATGTTTTTCTTCACTCATTGTCTGCCATACACATACTTCCTATTTGTTTTTTTTAGACCCAAACATATCTTTGTTGCATCATGAAGCACCTTTTTTTTCGTCAAAGGAAATATTCCTTCCTTCAGCCTGATTGCAATCGTTTTCATTACTAAAAAAGACTGATTTCCAATAATTTTTACTCACTCATGTTCATTTGCAGCCTTCAATACTTCCAATCCAGATCTTCCGAGTTGGGCAGTTTGTTATTCTTAGTGTACCAGGAGGTATGAGCTCTTACTCCTAATTTCTTATAATGATGATATTGTTGAAATGGGAATATATCGATCCACGTATTCATAATCAAGCCCCCAAGCTGTTGAATAACTTTGAGCCAAAATTAAAAAAATGAACTGTTATCAGCATCATGATTTTTTGATGATTTGGGTTCCAACAATGTTCATCTTAGTTATTTTGGGTTGTGTGAAAAATTCAAACCAATCCGACCCATTTAGAGAAAAAAATCCGAGCGGATCTACTTTGCAAAACCGGTTTAGTTACCCAATTCAATTTTACAAAATGGATCAGTTTGATTTTTTTAAAAAACCGATTCATATATGGGTATAAAGTGGTAACCATACCAAACTGTTTCAGTTTTAAAAAATTTGATCCATATTTTTAAAAAATCAAACCTACTTTATAAAAAAACAGATTGATTAGCCGGTCCACTTTTATAAAATGGATTGGTTCAATTTGGTTTGAGTTTTTTTAAAAATTCAATCCATGAACGCTCCTACTTTGAGTCTTTCACTATTTTTGTGTCTAAAATCTAAATATTTTAAGATCTGATATAATCCAAATCTAGTTAATCATTATGTTGTTGTGCTATATTATATATCTGTATGGCTACTTTTTTTCCTTACACTTCTGTATTTGTATTTGTATCAATTTGTTAATTGTGAAACAATTCAATTGTTGTAATTGTTTTAATTCTGACAGAATTTACAACAATGGCTGGAAGGCGCCTCCGTGATGCAGTCAAGACAGTGCTAAGTGGTAACAAAGACTTTGGTAGCAACATTCATGTTGTTATAGCAGGGTTGACCAATACTTATTCACAGTATGTAACTACATATGAAGAGTACGAGGTGCAGAGATATGAGGTCAGTTACACAACACTCTTCTGAAAAGAGACATGAAGCATACAGCAATCATTTCCACATTGCTATAGCAATAGTAAACGCAACTGATAGAAAGTTATTTCTATGCTACTGTAAAATAACCTAAAGCTACCCTTACAGCTATGAGAGAAGATAAAAGACTACATAAAAGCTAAGAGTAAAAACTGATATTTTTCATTGATGATTCCATACAGCACCAAATCTTATAGAGGTTTACTAGGAATAATAACCATACAAGTGGCACCATCCTAGTTTAGGGTAACTGAAATAAAGCAATATTAAAAGATAAAATAATATCCTAATATTTAAGACTATCCTATAAAATCCTTTAACCACTTAATTTTATCTCTTTTGGGCCTCTTTAGGTTCATCGTATAAGCAACATTAGTGGGTCTTTACACTTTTCGGAATGCAACTTATCATCAAACAACACAACTTTATACTGGCAAGAGATACATCCCGGAAGGACTGAAAAGCTTACCTAGCATGATAAATAGCTTGTTCATGACTTCATGTGCATATATCTACTTCTTTCTCTCAGCTCTTTATGCTTAGATTATTGTGTATCTTTGTGCAAATGGACAAATATTGACAAACATATGGGAAATATTACAATGACAATTATGTTTCTGCAATCCAAGTGACCATTTTGTGCTGCTTTATAATTTCAATTTTCATGTTACCAGGGTGCGTCCACGCTGTATGGTCCACACACACTTAGTGCTTACATTCAGGAGTTTAAGAAGCTCGCGCATGCTCTCATCAGTGGCCAGCCTGTAGAACCCGGCCCACAACCCCCTGACCTCCTCAATAAGCAAATAAGCTTATTAACACCAGTAGTGGTGGATGGAACCCCTATTGGTGTAAAATTTGGGGATTGCGACTCCGATGTACCCAAGAACTCCACCTTCAAGAGAGGTGACATGGTGACAGTTACATTCTGGTCTGCGTGCCCTCGAAATGACCTTATGACTGAAGGTACATTTTCCCTGGTGGAATTTCTCCAAGGAAGGGATACTTGGGTTCCTGCTTATGATGATGATGATTTCTGCCTGCGTTTCAAGTGGTCAAGGCCTTTCAAACTCAGTTCTCATAGTAAAGCCACTATAGAATGGAGAATCCCACAGGACGTAACTCCTGGTGTATACAGAATCAAACATTTTGGGGCTGCTAAGAGCTTATTAGGATCAATTCGTCATTTTACAGGTTCATCTAGTGCATTTGTTGTTGCATAGTAAATGGAGGCTCGCGGATAAATTTAATTGTTGGAACGCAATTACCTCTGTATCTGCAATTTGTTGTACTGAACTGTTCCATAATAAATTAAATCAGCGATGATTCCACCTTGTTATCAACTATTCTTTATCTCCTTTCCTACAAATTCAATGCAGCTACTCCCATGTTAATCAAATCATTTGTGGCTTACATTTGCTCTTTAGACACTGTTAACTATTCCCATGTTTAATTGTTACATACATGAAAGTTATTTTTAAGGAATTCTTATACTTCCATTATTTTTACTTTTGGCTGCGATGGTATGTGAGTTATGCTTTCAAGAGAAGGCTTCCTAGTCCCGAAGTCCGTCTCAGCGCTGCGCTTGTGGCCGAGGTTACCATTAGCGGAGAAAAAACTCATTTTCCTTTGTCATTATACAGGTTTTGATGCTTTTATAAATTTTAAAATATTGCCATATGTCACAATCTATAGTTAAATAATAAATTAAATCATATATCACAGTCCATAATTAATTAGTAAATTAAATCATTAAATTTATTATGATAAAATGGCACCCATTAAATACCTATTTGTCATAAATATTAAATCTATATCATTCGAGGATTATCTGCATGTTTGTCAAGACCTGATCCGTGCTGAACTGCAGAAGCTATTCAATAGTAGTTTTTTTTTTTGTTTTTCTTTCAAATTGACGCAGATTGCTTGTGTTTTTCTTTCAAATTGAAGCAGTTTTTGCATACATATGCTCATTGTGAACATGCCTCCAAACACATTATAAATGGTCATTTGTTAAGATCAATGTTTTTGTATTTTATTTTAGACTTGCGCAATTTCTAATTAGCATGAAAATAGAAAGAATGAAAAAGAGAGGACATAATGTGATGTAAGGAGTCACTGCGATTGTTGTTTTGTTTTATCACAAGGGAAGAAGTGATTTTTTTTTGGTAAAGATAAGAAAGATTATAAAAATGGTCATAACGAGGATTGAACCTAGGTTCTCATATTTCTAACTATCTTAATCCCTCCTCATCTAACCATTAGGCTAACCCTAATAATTGGGAAGGAGTGATTATTTGTGTGACTATGTAAAAAGTGTTTTTTCTTCTCTAAATTGTGAGAAAAGTGAGAAGGAAAGCATCAATTTTTTTTTCTTCTCTAAATTGTGAGAAAAGTGAGAAGGAAAGCATCAATTTATTACAAATAGACATTTACCCTTAAATTACACAACTTGCAAAAATATATATGAAACATTCATGTATCTTTCAAACCAATGAACATGCTTTTGCATCCGTTTCACGAAACAGTTTATGTGGGAGTTAGTTATATAAAAATCAATTTAATTAAAGAATTTATGTTTAGAAACATTTATTTTAAAAATAATTTAAACATAATAAATTATTTGAATAATGACAATTACTTTTAGATTTACAATTAGTTAAAAGAATATGAAAATTTAAATTTATTTAATATTATTAAAATAATAATACAATATTAGGCTAAAAAGATATTTTCTTAATATTTATCTGTATAATATTTCTTATCTTAAAAAAAAAAACACAAATATTTATCTTTTTTTTTGGTACTAAATAACTAAAGAAACGTCATATTTTTTTTCTTGTTTTTTTTTTCGTTCTTTTTACTAATCAAACACAGTGATAGCATAATTTTAACAGCACAAAAGTATCTGAATCGTTTTTTTTAATGGAGTAACGGATGTAAACTTGATTTATTTATTGAATTGAAGGATACGACGACGTTTAACAAGAACGGCTTTCTAGTTTCTACACTGGCAGCAGCAGAAGTGTATCGCGTTTTCCCAGCTGAAGAAGAAAGCGCACTCAAATCCTCTCTGCTTCGAGTTTGAATTTGAAGAGCAGAAGAAGAAAAAAAAACCATCTGATTGTGGAAATGTCAGTGCAAGAGTACTTGGACAAGCACATGCTTTCACGAAAACTCGAAGATGCGGTCAATGCCGCCGTTAGGGCCAAGACCTCCGATCCCGTTCTCTTCATCGTAAGTTATCTCTCCACCTCTATCTCTTTTTCACGGTTCTCATCGGAATTTCTCAGCGTGCGTTTTTGCGGTGACCGCAGTCGAATCACATGAGAAAATCAGTGCAATCGGTGATAACAAAAATCAAGGCGAGGCAGATCCTCGATAGCAGAGGGATTCCAACCGTCGAAGTCGACTTGCACACTAACAAAGGCGTGTTCCGCGCTTCCGTTCCCAGCGGCAACTCCACCGGCATGTAAGCCTTCTTACCGTTTCGTTAATCGCTCTCGTTCAATGCGCTATCGATTTGGTTGGTTAACCATTCGTTTCAGGTACGAAGCTGTTGAGTTACGCGACGGTGACAAAGGAGTGTATCTTGGAAATGGCGTGTCTAAAGCTGTTAAAAATATCAACGACAAAATATCCGAGGCGTTGATTGGTATGGATCCGACGCTTCAGTCGCAGATTGATCAGGCCATGATAGACCTCGACAAAACTGAGAAGAAGGTGTTTTAACGTCTTTCTGCTATGAACTCGTTAAATTGGTTGTTAATTTACCGTATTACGTACTGTTTTGTTCAATGCTTCGATTACTTTACATATCGGAATGAATTTGCTTACTGATTAGGACAAAGTGCTATGAATAAGCTGAGTATTATTATAGTATGGTTTTCCTCTATTTCTCTAGTTCTGGATAGGAGTTTTAGGTTCCTTAGTTTACTTTGATGGATACTACACAGATTAGCGAAATGAACATTCTGTTCCCCTAAAGTCTAAATGAGAGGGAGTCTGTGTCAGATTATTTTTATTTATGAAAGGTTGTGGTAAAGATACATTTGTGTTACGTAGTCAACTAAAACTTTGTCAATTTTTAATGACATCAATAGATGATACAGGGTTTTCCTTCTCCATATATTTTCACTGTTTTGTTTTTTCATTTTCTATTTCTTTTACAAAGTGCTCACTTAAAATAACCAAGCCTCTTGGGCCAACGGTTGTAAGACCTGCCCTGGGAGAGGAGTCGACCTGATGCATCCAAATTTGATTCTTGTCAATGTTAAAATAATGGTTGGCCATCAGAAGTCATATCTCGCTAGTGTAAATTAGTTTTTACTTGTCAGCTTTGGGACATTAGACCATGTCTATTGGAACAAAAAAAAATAAAAAAATCAAAGTGCTCACTTAAGCTAGTAGGAGCATTTTGTTTGTCTGTTGGAAATATGACAAATTCACACAGGATATTAGAAGCATGATTTGTATTTCACTTTGGATTTGCATACTTGGTTTTCTTTCCAGTTTTGAATGTTCAAATCCACAATATTACTTTTTTAATGATAATTCCGAGTGATTCCTTGTCTTTCTTCTATTTTCTTCTGGATACCATGACGAAGGCAGTGTGTGGCTGATTCTTACATCATAAATTTGTTGTGAACAGATACTATTACATGCGTGTTTGAATAATTCATTATAGTAAGATAGTTCTCCCAATTTTTTTAAAGATTTAATATGTATTTCTTGTATCTGTTTTGTTTCTGATTTTCTTTGTAGGGGGAACTTGGAGTCAATGCTATATTAGCTGTGTCCATTGCGGCTTGTAAAGCTGGGGCTGCTGAAAAGGAGGCATGTCTCTTCGTCAATTAATATTTTATAAGTTCATTTAACTTTTAATATGGAAAATATGTATATATTTTCAGTCATGATATCATGAAAATAAAGACAAACATATCAGGTTCCACTTTACAAACACATTGCTGACATGTCTGGGAAAACCAACCCAACACTTCCTGTTCCTGCCTTCACTGTCATAAGTGGTGGAAAACATGCTGGGAGTACTCTGGCCATTCAGGTATTGTATCTGTTGCTGTTTAATTTCTTAGACATTCTCATGTTTTTGCTAATATTATTCTTTTAGGGTTGTGCTTCTTTTCTCTAAAGAATCTAATGAACAGTGAAATTAAATGACAAATGAATGTGGAAATATTTTCATTATATGTCAAATCAATCAAAAAATAACTTGGGGCTCATACATCTTCTTTGTAACTAACACGGTAACACCTGTTTAATTATTTGTGGTGTAACTTTGGCAATTTATTGTTGTGTGTGATTTTTTTCTTCATTTTCTGACTTTCTAACATTAACAGATATTGTTTCTTTTCAATCTGGGTTCCTTCTGTTTCATAGTGGTTTGGACTCTTTGAAATATGAAATCTTTCCTACATAATTTCTATCAGGAAATCATGATTCTCCCAATTGGAGCAAGCAAATTTGAGGAAGCACTGCGAATGGGCACTGAGACCTATCATCACTTAAAGGTGGTTTGGATTTTTTTTATTTATCAAATGCTATGGCTTTTTCTTTCTGTCTGAAGATATTTTTTTCTCATAATTTCACTCATTAAAATGTAAGAATCCTAATAGTCAGTTGCAGATATCATCTATAAGCTGATACATTTCTATATTGATGATGACAAAAGGGCAGGCTGTCATTACAGAAAAATCTGGTGCACATAACTGTAATGTTGGTGAAGATGGTGGCTATGCTCCTAATATCTCCAGGCAAGCTTTATATGTTATAGAATTATTGGATTTCTGCAGCTTTTAAAATTTCTATACATTTAAATACAAAAGCAGAGCCTTTTTCCAATTTGTGGGGTAAGTTACATGGATCACATGGCATCATAAATTTCTGTAAAATTCATCTCTGTTAAACGAATAATATAAAGGGGTGGAAAAGTCTCCATTTTAGGAGTGAAAAACAAAAAAATAACTCCAAAAATTGCTGTGCACAGTATTTTTAAATTCAGGTGTAATATAACACATAGAAAAGTATTCAAAACAAAATAATGTTTAAATTTATATGGAATATATATAAAATTAATTTATGTAGAATAAAATATATATAGATTAAAATAGGAAAAAAATAAGTTTAAAATTATAAAAATGATAAGCAGAATTAATTCTGAAGAATTTGAATAATAAATATAAAAGAAGTTGAGAGTGAAGTGTCATTCTTGAAGATTGTGTAGATCATGGTTGTCAAACTCGCGAGTCAACTCGTAAACTCGTACGAGTCTAGGGTAGCAAAACGAGTTAACTCGCGCATAGACTCGTTTTTTGGTAGACTCGGGTAGACTCGGTCTGACTCGGGTAGACTCGGTCAGAATCGCGAGTCTGAGACCGAGTCCAAGAGTCTGGTTAGTTTTTTTTTTTCACCCCTAAATG